AAACAAAGGTACATATGACCCTCAGAACACAGCATACATTTGGTAATGGCTCGGACTTGACCTTCTGGCTGACTTTATCCTCTAATTGATCATCGTCCAGTGCATCTGTCATTGTATTACTCTCCTGCGTGTTATCAGTCTCTGTCTCGTTCTCGTACTGAAAGAAACTGGAGGTCACCAGCACTTGCGACATCAACGCCAGAGCTCCGTACAGCGTGAACATTCCAAACACACTATCCACCAGGCCCTGTAAAAGGGACGGGTACGTAGTGATATACATAAGCACAGGTGCATTACATTTACCTATACAACGGTTCTAATTTATGAAGAGATTATGTTTAGCTTTACATGGTTGTAGGTAGTGAATGGACTATATTTACTTTTACAAAGATCTAGATAGTGAAAGAAGGAAGCCAGGCGGCGGAGGTTCCGTGCACTTCTATATAAGCGTGGGTGAGCGGTGAAGTGTGAAAAGTGATCAACCCGTGTGTACAACACGCGTTTGATGGTGCGTGTATTGCTTGTTTGCATGGTTTGTCAATGACTCACATAGTGTAGACATCAATGTGAGTGGGTGTGCGTATCTGGGAGTGTGTGTACATATACAAGGGTCTGCAAATAAGTTCAGGTCACATTACAAGAGTGTGTGGACATATGTGCGGTGTCCAACTATTGCACCAGTCCGGTGCGCGTGGGACTAGACAGGCATTCATGGATATTGATCTGCACTTAAAAAGGGGGTAAGTGCACACCGCGCCCACGACGACGCATAAAATGATTCGGGATGTGATTGTATCGATTGATTGATGGGGGAGATAACAAGTTTACCGTGCATCAGTAGACGCCGAAAATCGTGTCCAACAAGATCTGGACCGGATTTTTCTATGCCTGTATATGTTCAATACTCATTTCTATATATATATATATATATAAATATATATATATGTATATCTATATATATATATATAGATATGCATATAGTATATATATATATATATGTGTGTGTGTGTGTGTGTGTGTGTGTGTGTGTGTGTGTGTGTGTGTGT